TCCTCACCATGATCCCTCTAAAACCAAGGCCAATTTCCACCAACTGGGGATGGAGCTGCTTCAGACTCTGCCAGCCACTGTAGAGCCACAACTTCTTGGGGCATGACTGTTAAAGACAAAGTGCTCTGCGTGTGTGTGTGTGTGTGTGTGTGTGTGTGTGTAAAATCCAAGGCTTGCACACTGAGCTGCATCCCTGGCCCTTTTTTATTTTTTATTTTGAGAGAGAGTCTTACTGCGTTGCCCAGTCTGGATTCAAACTTAAAATCCTGCCTCAGTCTCTCAGAGTGTTGAAATTACAAGCATGTGCCACCATGGCTAGCTACAAAGTACATTAACCAAGTTATTTTCCTTTGTTTAGGTAATAAAGCTATTACAATCAAAATATCATTATAAAGAAGAAGCTGAAATCATCTGTGATAAAGTACAAGTTAAACTCAGCAAAGAATCCTTTCATCCTTACAATATGTGCATTACAGACCTAAGGACTTCCCACTGGGAAGAAGCAATCCGGGAAACAAAAGGTGGTAAGGACAACAGGAGATTGGCTGAGGAATGTTATTTCTTGTGGAAGTCTACTCGTCTACAGCATATGACCCTAGCTGAAGATGTCAAAGCCATGCTCACAGAACTTCGAAAGGAGGTCCGCCTACTCTTGTTAACAAATGGTGACAGACAGACACAGCGGGAAAAGATCGAGGCTTGTGCCTGTCAGTCCTACTTTGATGCTATTGTTGTAGGTGGAGAGCAGAAAGAGGAGAAACCAGCACCTTCCATATTTTATCACTGTTGTGATCTCCTTGGAGTACAGCCTGGGGACTGTGTGATGGTTGGCGACACACTAGAAACTGATATACAAGGAGGTCTCAATGCAGGGCTGAAAGCTACAGTCTGGATAAACAAGAGTGGAAACATGCCTCTGACATCCCCCATTCCACATTATATAGTTTCTTCTGTGTTAGAATTACCTGCTCTCTTACAGAATATCGATTGTAAAGTCAGTTTGTCTATTTGAAGCACATAAAAAGGCGCAATTCCAAACTTTAGAGTATTTCCAGGGTTGAAGCTAAGATGAGTTAAGCCATTCTGAAATAATTTGATTTAGGATTTAATAGCCAATTTGTGAGGGTCTTCCCAACCCCATTGCTTTTTACAACTAATCATTGAATTGTAGTTATATCTGAAAATCCAGATTATGTTAATACAGGTTACTTTTAGTGCTGTAGTTCAAAAAACTGGAGGAAATACATCATTTTTTTAGTCTGTAATTTGAGATTTTAAAAAATTGTTTTTGTGGGGTTTTGTTTGTTTGTTTGTTTGTTTGTTTTGGTACCAGGGATCAAACTCAGGACTTTGCGCTTGTGAGGCAGGTGCAGGCACCACTGAGCCAAATCCCTGGCCCAAAAAATTGTATTTTTAATCATTTAGTACTTTGGCTCTATGGTACAAAGCAGGATAGCTTACACCTGGATATGCAAATGCAGGTTGTATGGCTTAAAAACAGATA